ATTTTCCATGTTCTATTATTAATTCAAACGAAGACCAAAACGTGACGACAACAGCAATTGGTATCGATGAAACCAGGACGGATATTCATGAAATATTGAATGAAACGACTGAGTTGGACAGAACAAGAGCTGATGCTTGCACTTTGGCCAACAAAATCTTTACTGAAAGAAAAGTTGAATGGGCGATTGACTCCTTTGAACCTTTCAAGTCACCAGGTAGGGATGGATTTTTTCCTGTACTACTACAGAAGGGAAAAGCGGTTGTAATGCCTATTCTAACAAAGATATTTCGAACAAGCTTAATATTAAGCTATATACCGGCAGTGTGGCGACAAGTGCGGGTTATTTTTATTCCCAAGGCTAATAAAAAGGATAAAACTTCACCAAAATCCTTCAGGCCAATAAGTTTATCGTCTATTTTGCTAAAAATAATGGAAAAAATAATAGATGAACATATAAAGTCATCATATTTAGCCACAAATCCTCTGAGCAAATATCAATTTGCATACCAGGAAGGTAAGTCATCAGTAACAGCACTCCATACGGTTGTTACAAAACTAGAAAGTTCTTTTGAAGCAAAAGAAATTTCACTTGCTGCATTCCTTGACATTGAAGGTGCATTCGATAATTCATCTCACGATTCAATGACTACAGCTATGATGAAACATGGTTTCGATCAAAGCATTGTAAATTGGATCAATGAAATGTTATCAAAAAGAGAAATATCAGCAAACCTTGGAAGCTCACTCATCAGTGTAAGAGCAACCAAAGGATGCCCGCAAGGAGGCGTGTTATCACCTCTATTGTGGTCTTTAATAGTTGATGATCTTCTCAAAAATTTAATAGCCAATGGCTTCGAAATAATTGGCTTCGCAGATGATATAGTCATAATTGTACGTGGCAAATATGATTGTATTATCGCTAACAGAATGCAAATTGCTTTAAATTTTGTCTCATCGTGGTGTGATAGGGAAGGATTAAACATAAATCCTTCTAAAACTACTATCGTGCCATTTACCCGAAGGAAGAAATTTTCATTAGACAACATAAGATTGAAAGGCACACTTTTGGAACTTTCTAATGCTGTCAAATATCTTGGAGTAATCCTTGATAGTAAACTTAATTGGAATATGCACCTAGAGCAGGCAATAAACAAAGCTACTAATGCTCTATGGATATGCAAAAGAACATTCGGTAAACAGTGGGGACTGAAACCGAAAATGATCCATTGGATTTACTCGGCAATTGTGAAACCCAGGATTACTTATGGTGCATTGGTCTGGTGGCCAAAAACAAAAGAGAGTGTTGTTCAGAGAAAGTTAGAAAAACTCCAAAGGTTAGCAACTCTCTCAATAACAGGTGCAATGAGAAGTACACCATCGAAGGCCTTGGATGCTTTGCTTTATATGCTACCATTGCATCAATTTGTACAATTAGAAGCCGAAAAGTGTGCTCTAAGGATTACAAGGTCAGTGAAACTCTTTGAAGGAGACCTTAGAGGACATCTTACGATTCTAAAAACTGTTAGTATCAACTCTCTAGTAAGGAACAACGAAGACTGGATGGAGAAAAGATACAACGTCAATCGACTTTTTCGAGTAGTTGACCCTGGGCGTAATTCATGGCAATTTGGTGGCCCGGTTCTTCGTCCAGGATCGATTGTTTTTTATACAGATGGTTCAAGATTGAACAATCAAGTGGGAGCAGGAGTAACTGGCCCAGGGATAGAAATATCGGTTCCTATGGGCAGATGGCCAACTGTGTTCCAAGCTGAAATCCAAGCAATTTTAGAGTGTTCCGTTATATGTTTGCGTAGAAACTATAAGAGTTCAAATATATGCGTCATGTCCGACAGTCAAGCTGCTCTAAATGCTTTAAAGTCGGCGACATGTACATCAAAACTTGTCTGGGAGTGTGTTCAATCACTTCAAAAATTGTCTTGTCATAATCAAGTCAACTTATATTGGGTTCCTGGTCATTGCGGGATTGAGGGAAATGAAAGAGCTGATGCACTAGCAAGACTCGGATCTTCTCATAAGTTCATCATTTTGTGGCTTATCGGCTGCATCTCTTAGAATGGAGCTAAAAGCGTGGGAATCTTCAAAAGTGGAGGAAAACTGGAAGAACACTTCCATTGCTAGGCAGTCGAAGCGATTTATTAATCCAAACATTTCTGTGACCCACAAAATCCTGGAACTTTCTAAAAAAGATCTTAGTATATATGCAGGTCTTATAACAGGTCATTGTCCGAGCCGTTATCACTTGAAGCTGATTGGAAAACTTCAAGATGATGTGTGTCGCTTCTGTGGCATAGAAAAGGAAGACTCGGAACATTTGCTATGCCACTGTCCGGCAATTTACAATAAAAGGCGTAAGTTCTTCGACAAGGGGCTGATAGAACCCTTTGACATTTGGAGAACAACTCCCAGTGCGGCAGTGCACTTTATTCGAAGTATAATGCCGTGCTGGGATAATGCTATTAGTCAAACGATGGCGATCACTCCTAATAATAGTGATACGGCATCTTGATATAGCTAAAGAAAAAAAAAATGGGGAATATATCACAATAGATCAGAAAAATGGTCGCAGTGATGAAAATACCCGACAAGGAAAAAAAATGAGATTGAGTGGAATTTCATTCCACCCGACGCACCCGAGTTCGGTGGTTTGTGGGAGGCAGCCATGAAGTCGGCCAAAACCCATTTGAACCGGGTAGTCGGTGATGAAATAAATCGAAGCAACCCATGACTGTCTGTTACTACAAAGGAAACATAAATTCCTTCACTTGTGATTTAACCGTATAAGATAACACACGCGTTTTACTTTTACCCTGCTGCCTATTAGGTTATGGGCCCAGATAGTTTTGTGAAGCCAGAAAAATGCAGAATCCTCAAGCGAACCCTGGAGGAAATGGATCCGGTGACCCGGCTAGAACTCTAGCGCGTGCAGCCACACAGAATTATTCCACACAGAACCATCCGGCGATTGAGCGGTTGGTTGGTCGTGAAAACTGGAGAACTTGGAAGTTTGCAGTGAAGACTTTTCTGGAAGTGGAAGACCTTTGGGACGTGGTGCAGCCTACCCCGAATGACGACGAAACTTTTCCTGAGGTGGATGCGCGAAAGGACAGGATTGCACGAGGTAAAATTGTTTTGCTGATCGATCCGGTGAATTATATTCACGTCGAGGAGGTGAAAACGGCAGCGGAAGTGTGGAAAAAGCTGACCAATACCTTCGAAGACACGGGACTGACACGACAGTGGGCCCTTCTACACAAGCTTATCACGACGAATTTGAACAATTGCGGTACAATGGAAGCGTACGTAAATCGGATGGTTTCAACAGCGCATCAGCTAATTGGAATCGGATTCCCGTTGGATGACAAATGGATCGGAATGCTGCTGCTGGCTGGCTTGCCCCAGGAGTATCGTCCGATGGTGATGGGCCTTGAAAATTCGGGAATCGAAATCACGGGTGACATCATCAAAACCAAGTTGCTCCAGGAGACGGATTTGTCAGCGCCTACTACGGGACCGGCGTTTATTTCTGCAAGATAAAACTCAAATGGTTACCAAAGCAACGCAAACACAAATTCGAAAGGCAAAGGACCGAAATGCCGGGGGTGTGAGAAATTTGGTCACATTGCGAAGAATTGTCAAACCAGGACCAGGTATCAAGAACCATCGGAACGAAGCGGATCGGATCGGAAAGGAGACGCCTTTTGCACCGTGTTGTCAATGCAAGACGCGACAACGGACAACAGTCGGCAATACGACTCTAACGTTCGAGGAATTGTATACGATCCTGTCAGAAATCGAGGCCGTCTTGAAATCCCGACCGCAATTGTTCGCAATTTCCAACGACCCGGCGGACCCGCTGGTGATAACTCCAGCGCATTATTTGATTGGACGACCGCTGATTGCCCCAGCTGAACCATCCCTGGAGAACGTTAAAGCATCCCGCTTGACACGGTGGCAACATCTCCAACTTATGCGCGAGCAATTCTGGCGAGCCTGGAGCCGGGATTATTTGAATACCCTGCAGCCTCGGAAGAAAAATCGACAAACATGATCGTGTTGCTTCACGATCGTAACCAACCACCACTCAACTGGAAGTTAAGCTGGGTTTAAACAGGGCAAGTCAATTGATCAAGTCAGTTGAATTCAACTGACTTGAACGCGAATTGAACGTGTAAACCATGCCATTCAACTGACTTGATCAACTCACTTGAATTGAAAAAAGTTGAACCAGGCTCAACTTTGCAAGCCAATTGAATTCAACTGAGTTGATCATTTGACTTGCCTAGTCTAAACCCAGCATATAGCTGTCTATCCTGGAACCGACGGCCTGGTCCGAGCAGTTGATGCCTTCGTGAATGGAACCACGTATCGACGTCCCATCAATAAGGTGTCCATTCTACCCTCCGACTTCCAAAAGGTATTGAGATCTCTCAACCGCCTACTGCCGAAAGAGAGGAGAAAACGTCGACCATTCAGCGACGAGCAAACGGTCGGTCCCGTTCTATAAAAATCCCCGCAGTAGCGTGCTTAAGTTAACTCAGAATAGAGTGCTGAGGATGGTTCTTGATCGTCCTTTCGACACTAGAATAAAAAATTTACACAAAGAGGCAGGCATTGCCAAAATAGATTCGCTCCCGCCCAGTACAGTCCACTTCACCTTGACAAAACCAGTTCAGTAGGAACAGTTGATAAGGTTAACATCATTGGTGCTTCATCCAGCCTGTTGATGTAAAACAACAATAATAATAATAATAAGTCCTCTGGTCAGACTTTACTCTGAATTTTTAAAGTTAAATTCTTTACTCTAAACATTGGTCGTAAAAAGTGACTGTAGTGACTGACTTGAAAATAAAGACCAAGTCACTGAAAGTGACTTGCTACGAGCCCTGCAACGCCCACCAATTCCTGATCCGAATGTCATCAAAACAAAAAACAACTGACCAAATGGGAGCAACATTTTCGGCACGAAATCATAAGACCCAGAAAAACGCACGATATTGTGTGTCCTTAATTTATTAAATTATTTTTAATGTTTACCGAATATATAAGTAGTTTATTATTTACAAGTTATAGGTTTTTTTCCTTGAATTCACAATTAATTACAGTATATGACTATAATTTTTATGTACCTTTTTGAATATTTTTAAACTTTTTTTTTTCGCTTTTCGAATCAATTATACGTTCTTTCTGCAAACTTTTCCCTATTTTCTTCTTTTACAGTTGTAGTAGCACTGTGATACTCAGTAGCATTTTTTGTTTGTTTTTAAATGTTTGTTTGTAGTTTGTTTTGCATCCGTAGCTGTAATATAGTCCCAAAAAAAAAGAAGAAAACAATTCTTTTAAAATTAGTTAACTTATGAAAGAAGAAAAATCGAAGAGAAAGAAATTAAAATTCTTCCTCCCCTTCACGCCTATATATTCTCAAACTACACGTTTATTTAGGAAAAAAAAAACTTGGTAAGGCTTATGCATATTTTCTTCTTCTTCTTCTTCATCATCTTGTCTACAGGTATTCCTGGTCCATCGTGAACTGAGGCGGTCGACCCAGCGGATGGATATTCCTATGTAACAAGCAACTCTTTGAAACTTAAGGCAATTATCCGTCAGAAAGAGGAAAGTATTTTTTTTTTCATTCAAAGACACTAACATAAAAATGAAAACTTCGTGTTGTTACTTCAGTTTTTTTTTTCGTTTGCTTTGTTTTATAGTAGATCACTGTTGAGGCATACAAACTCGGAGAGCGGGGAAAAAAGTCTCCTATCAAACCTTGAAATGTGTATGTGTGTGTTTCGTTTCTTTTCCTCGCACGAATCGCCGCATCTAGAATATAGTTGTGTCTGCCGGTGTGTGAGTGTGTGTGTATGTATATGTATGTAAGTGTATATAAGAACTTATGTATTCTCTTCGATTATTATTTTTCGAACATATTGTATCATGATAGAATGCATGAACAAACTTAAGGAATCGGAAAAAAAGCATACCCATTCAACCGCGGATGGCGGAAAGCTCTAAAATGAAGCGACATTTAAAAGTTATGTTTTTTTTGCTCCTCGATCACTGCTGCAGCAATTCTGCTTTGATTTATTCAGGATGCTCATATCCTACCTAAACTGGTAGAATATCGGATGGCAGTTGATCTCTCTTTTGGATCCTGCTGTTGCATCAGCACACGCGTGACGAGAATTTATTTCAAGGTGGATTCCTTTTCTTGTCCATCAAAGTTGATAACTAACAGGTTTATTTTGTCAAAACAAAAGAAAGCAATCTTCTTTCTACAAATATTCTAGTTTCTTTTAATTTGAATTACTTCTCGATGCCAATGAGTTCTAATTTCGGTGCACCCAGATTCAGATTCGTTTGAAAGAAGAAAAAAAAAACGAAAAGAAAAATATCAATAATTTCTAAATAGCAGTCAAATTCCAATCATTTAAAATATATAGGAGCCAAATATACGCGATATGACGACGATTTCTTATAAGGACGTGTAAAAAAAAAGTAACACAAAACCATTTCTTTAGTTCTCAGAGTACCGAATCTCACAGGTTCGATTTTCGCACCCAATCCAACAACCTGGCCCCGTCGTTTCGTGTCGCCTTTCTTCCTTTCAACGGAAGTTTGCACAAGCAGCACCAAACGCTTTACGAGGCTTTCTCACTCGATGATGTTGCCGATGAAGTCTTTCCCGCAGCCGATGTGGATGATGAAGCAGCGTTGATGTTGGGTCCAGAGGAGGAAGCAGGGGCAGCAGCATTCTCCGTCGGTTTCGTGCTGCTTGGAGCTGCTTTCTGCTGTTGTTGCTGCTGCAGCTGCTGCTGTTGATGTTGCTTACCGGGTCCAGATGGTCGGTGCAGTGAGAATCGTTCGTGTGGCGCCACTCGTACTACCTTGTTGCCAGTCGAACCACTTCGGGGGCGACTGCCAGCCACTCTGGCGGCACCGTCACCGAAGGATCCCGTCCGAGCGCGGGAAGGACCCGGCCGGTTCGTTACATCCATCATCCGGTTGCCGGCTGAGTCACATCTGCAAGAACAGAGCGGAAATTTAGCAGATGTTTGTATGTATTCTTTGAAGAAGCCCTATTTCCAGATTAAAGTCCATGCTGTCTCTTTAAAATTGCTTTATCATATTCTTAACCTTTCAGTACTCGCGCCAACTTTTGTAACACGAGCACGAGTACAAAATACAACAGACTATTATTTTCACCTTGGTCGCTTGGACATGGGTATTGAATTTCTTGCAGCATATTTAGGTTAAACAATAATATTCTTCTTCTTACTGTTTGTTCGCTTTTCTCAATTTCTTTGAAGCACTTCCAGAATTGTGTCTTTCTAATTTCCTCAAAATTCAATGCGCATACCTGATATATGTTATAGATATGTTCATACCTTGTTGTTATCTCTAGATTTAATTCTAAAATTTTCTTAAACTCCCTTTGGAATTTTCAATAAAATTCTTTAATTAGTTCTTCATTTCCATTTCAAGGATCTTGGTTGGATTTTTTTCAAGATACAGAATATTATTATTTTCCAAAGAGAGGACGAAGCATTTTTTTTGTTTCAATGTCCCGATTATCTGGTCACCCCGATCATTAACTACAAAATTGGATAAATTTAAGTTAGGTTAGGTTAGCTTTATTTAAGTGACTACAGACAAATCTCTATATGATGGCTTATATCTCAATTTCTTGAAAGGAATTTCAACTCTTGGTAATGTCATTCGTCTCAACTTCTACATATTTCCATTTCTCCCTATGTTGATTGGCATCTTGATTATTCATCAAAAAGATTTTTTGATTATTCATCAAAACAGACATTTTCGCAGGCTAAAGTCTTCTTGATAATTTTATTTAATACCCGTTTTGAAGGATTTTCGCATTGAACTTATCTTTATTTGAAAGGTACAGACAAAGAGTCCCTAAATGCGCATTGCAAGCAATATCTAAGTACAGATCAACACGGATTCATAACTGGGCGTTCCACAACTACGAACCTGCTGTGCCTAACGTCTTACATCACAGACAGTTTGATTGCTCGGACCCAAACGGACGTTATCTACACATATCTTACGGCAGCCTTCGATAAGCTGAACCACGAAATTGCGATCGCTAAGCTTGATAGGCTAGGGATCGGTGGAAATCTTTTGAGATGGTTTCGTTCATACCTCACGGAGCGCCAATTGACAGTAACTTTGGCAGGGTGTCTACTCAATCCAAGGAATTAAATTCCCTGAGTTTTCCAGGTTTTTCCAGGTCGGATGAAAAAAAAATCCAGGTGCATACAAATTATACACATTATTATTTTATCTATTGATCCATCTGGAATCCCTTTTATGTACTTATTGATTTTTTTTAATGCGTTTATTTTTCCAGGCTCATTTGCTATAGCTTTGCGGAGCCAATATTCATTGATTAGATTACAAAATTACTTAAAACTAACGTTAGTAAAGCGGGGGCCGATTACTCGCGGCTATCTCGAGGTTAGGGGTGACAAATTGTAACAAATGGATGGCAGGGAAGGGATTGTGAACACAAGGTTTGGAGAGCAATGTGCTCTTGATCTCGAACTAAGCGACACTCTGATGAAAAAGACAAACATGGGGGTACACCGATGGGCAGCTAACAACTTGGGAGAACATAAGATGACACTAACTACTAAATCCTCAGATCTATCCGTTTTAAAAACACATAAATTAAATTCAAATAGTCGAGATCTCGGCTCGCCAAGACATCTCTAACGGGTATCGCGGGTTGTTTTCCGCGGGCCCTGAGGGATGTGGATAACTCAGATCTGGCAACACGGTGTAAAGTACACGACCAAACAACATGCTCGATATCGTGATAACCACTGCCACACGCACATAAATTGCTGCCTGAGAGCCCAATTCGATAGAAGTGCGAGTCTAACGAGCAGTGATTGGACATAAGCCTTGATATGACGCGTATAAAGTCGCGGCTCATGTCCAACCCCCTTGAACCATGGTTTGTTCGACACCTGTGGGAGAATAGAATGTAACCATCTTCCCAAATCACCATCATTCCATTTTTGTTGCCAACTGATGAGGACTTGCTGACGAGCAATGGAGAAAAATTCGTTGAAGGCGATTTGTCGCTCAAAAATATCGCCTTCCATAGCGCCCACCTTAGCCAACGAGTCCGCTTTCTCATTACCCGGAATTGAGCAATGAGATGGGACCCAAGCTAAGGTGATAGTATAGGAGCAGTTAGACTTATTGATTTATGTTATTTTCGATTGTTCAAACTTGGGCGTTGGTACTTATAAGTCGGCACAGCAAAAACAGTTATTGAATATTACAGCAGAACAGATGCACATAGGTTGTTTAATATTAATTTGTACAATTTATGTTTAGTAAATGCACCAATAGTGGAGGTTCTTTAGTGCAATGTGTTCCTATGGTGGCTTATAGAGTCTCCCTAAGCCGCTATAGAAGTACATTGTACTAACGTAATGTACACATTGCACTTAAGTACCTCCACTATTGGTGCATTTATTCTAAACATAATTTGCGAAAAGAAATTAAATATATCCAACGGTGTAATATTATATTTGGTTTTTGCAATCACATTAGTTATTCATACAGTAGCATGCATTACGTCAATCAATATTAAATTCTTTTTTGGTATTTGTGTAGTATTTTTTTAATTCAAGAATATAAATACAAGTAAGAAACCTATCTATACTATTTCGATAAAACGATATATCAAAATTTGATAAAAATATGCTTTCAAAAACAACATATCATTTTGATAATATGTTTGAGTTCAACTCTGTTTGGAAGATCAAGACAGAATAAATCATGGTTTCACATGTCTAAAATCTCTTAAGGTCCGTTTAGACTATCTGATTTCTTGGTCTGACTTTGACCGCCGCTATAATGAAAAATCTGCTCGAATTTACTTTCGACACTCTTTGTCGAACCCCCCCCCCCCCCCTGTTTGCTGGTGTTCACATGTCGAAAGAACTGCCAATTTAGATTTCAAAACAAAACTGTATCAGGAATCAAAAGTAAATACTTCCATCGTGAATTACCGGAAAATTGCTCTAGCTTTGGCAGAAGTATTTGCTTTCATTATTTTAAATAAAATGAGGAAGAGAAGGTGAACTTTGTGGAGTAGGAAATGGTTGCTCAGGAGGAACACCGGCAAGGATCTGGCTCATCTTGTCCATCAAGAGTTGCGATATGAAGATGAAAATGGATTTCAAAACTTCGCCAGGATGTCGATACCAACTTTAGACAAGCTAGTGGGAAAAGTTCTCACTAGATATACAAAATTCCTTGAGTTCTGAAAATTTATGTTAACAACTCAATTCTGCAAGGTCTTCAAACCTTCTGACGACCCTGAAGTTTTGTTTCTGTTCTCCGGTAAAATTTCTTTAAAGATCAACAATCTTTCCTTACAATCTGCTAATTTCTCGGTAGTTCTACAGATTTCTTTGAAGTTCTGTGTGTTCTTCAGAAGTTCTGCAAATTGTCCTAAAAATCTACAAAGTTCCTGAATCCCTGAAGATTTAAGATCCTTGAAGATCAACAATTATCTCTGATGTTCACAAAATTTCTAATAATCTACAAACTTCTTGACTGTAATTCTGTAATTTTCTCTGCAGATTTTCATAATTCAATGAATATCTGCAAATATCTCTGAACATCTATACAATTATCTAAAGAATTAAAAGAAATTTTTGAAGTTTTAGGAAGTATTCTGAAGTTTTTCTAATTTTTCTGAAGCAGTGCAAATATCTCTAAAGATCAGCGAACTTACCTGAAGTTCTGTAAATGTCTTTCAAAATCCAAGAACCGCAGTAAAATTCTGAAAATTTATTTAAACATCTGCTAATTTTTCAGTAGATTTACGATCTATCCTCTGAACTTTTCTGAGGATCCTAAAATTTATTTCAAATTCTGTAAATTTTTCTGAAGTACTGTATTTCTGATCGAAAGATCTACGAACTGCCCTGAAGTTCAATGAATTTCACAGTAGATCTCCGAACTTTTCTAAAGGTCTTTAAATTTCTTTGTGGATTCTTGATCTAAAGATCGGCGAACTTTACCGAGGATCTGTGAGTTTTGCTGAAGTTTTGCAAATTTTTTTAAAAACGTACGAACTTTCTGACGTTCTACAGACTTCTCTTAAGGTCTACAGACTTCTCTTAAGGTCTACGGACTTCTCTGAAGTTATTTAGATCTACACAGCTAAAAAGAAAGTAGTGTAAATTTCCGTTACTATGATGCACATAAATGGAGCGTCATATATCATACAAGTTTAGATTATAGATCGTGTAAATTTATGAGACATGTCATGTAATATCCCATATATTGTATGCAACTGTCCACTTTTGTTTGCAACATTTCTTGCAAGTTGCTAGTTTACGTGAAAAGGAAGTTTACATGTATGAATGTTTGCATGCATGGATGTTTACATCGCCAGTAAAATTCAGAATTTTTTGGTGTGTATCTATTTCCGACTTCCATGGAGTTCTGCAAAATATTGTACTTTTGTACTTCGCTGCGATTTGTTTTTGGAATTAAGGTGCTTTTCTGACATTTAACGAATGTTTCTAAAGATCTCACATTTGTGTGAAAATGTGAAACTTTCTGTCAAATTCCTGCAAATATCTTTAAAGTTCTGTAAAGTTGTCTTAAGCTCCGTAGCTCTATTCCCAAGATCTATAAATAAAAACTTGAGGCTCAATAAATTTCTCAGTAGATCTGAAAACTTCTCTGATGTTTTGTAAATTCCTCTCGGGTTACCCTGAAGATTTAAAAATTTCGTTGAAGATTACCTCAAGTTGCCAAAATTTATCTGAAAATATTTGAGCTTCTTTGAAGTTTTAAATGTCTCTCTCAAGATCTAAAAATTTTCCTGAAATCGTGTAAATATTTTTTTTAACCGCCGAACTTCCCTGAAGTTCTGCAATTTTTACTGAAGAGCCATTAACATTTCTGATATTCTTGTGATATTTTTCAGAAATCCTGTAATTTTTTTCAAAGTTTTGTAACTTTGT